CGAGACTTAAGCTTAGATGATAAAGGAAACCACCCACAACCGGGACATTGACAATGTTATTTTGATAATGGAAAAAGATGGTGAAAATTCTGACGGCCAGTGTCGTAGGACTGCCTGACAAGGGCCAGGTGAATACAGAGATTGGGATAGATAAGAAAAATTAACTGTGTCGGGGGGGCAAACAATATTGTCGGGAAAGGATTTAATAGGTCATCTGTTAGCCGCACACGAAGCCAACCCTGGGTTAAGTCTTTGCCGTTTTGACAAGACATCTATGGGTGTTAGAATTCGGTTATGATAATAAAACTATGTTATCAGAAATTGGCACCAAGAATGCAAATACGGCTAGGACAATGAAACTGTTTTTTTTTGTGGGGACGGAAATTGGCTGTGTTTCGCTAGATGACCAACCACTTGATAATTGACATTGATAGATCCCAGGTGACATTGGGGATGAGCCTGCGATTAAGGAAAGAAAAGGAAAAGAAAAAGATAATTTTTTTTTTTGAGCAAGATATATTTTTTCTTAAAGCAAAGCTAGCCGGATCACACCCACCCGGTTTGACGCCAATGGCCGAATGTCAACGAGAGCCAGGCGGAGGTGATCACGTGACGCAAAGTGGGGGGAAGCCCGCCGCCGCCCATTTAGAGGATAGTTATGAGAGGTTGCTACGAAGAAGTGGGGAGAACCGTTGACGCCCCTCTGAAGTATGGTGAGATATCCATATGAGAATAAGGGAAGGTGGGGGTAAGAGTAGACTTCCAAAAATGGAGAGGAGTGGAAAAATCCTGACAGAAAATAAAGAAGTGGATTATGGATTAAGAATTATCAAGGAACCTCAAACCCCGACAAAGCTCACCCCGGTTTTGGTCGGCGTCCATATAAGCAAAGTCGCAGCGAGCGAAAATCAGTTCGGTCTCCGGTTTTCCAGAGTTTCCAGTTTGCAGTTGAAATTCACATCAGCTGACTAAGATTCGCGCAACTTCCGAACTCACCTTCAATCCAAGAACAATTTATTTTTGAAGAGCGACTTAGATTCATACCACCAACAAAAGTTTTACGACTATCGCCTGAAGACACACCAAGAACCAATTTCTTAAAGAACAGACAACTTAAGATGTTAAAACTCACCTAACAAAAACAACGTGTCACAATCCATATAGCGGGTCGGGAGATAGACGCAGTCCTATGTATCCAGCAACCAGATATAAAGTATTATTATCCTTTTTTTGATACCTTGAACTTTTGAGTTATTATTTTATTTTCTTTTATACATACTTGTGCGATACCACCCTCATTTGAACTCAACTTGCATTACGGCCCCAACGACTGATTGATTTCGTCTGCCAAAGATCAATTCACAATGTGGGTAGGCGGACTGGAGATCAACGCAGTTACTTTGGTAACCAGAGGTTGGAAGCGAGTTGGGAACGACGAGGCTGATATCGGATCTGACCAGATTCCCATCCGAATCACCAAAAGATTAGAACGTCACATTTGGGTGCCGCGACCAATACCAAGCCAGTTGGTCGTCACAGGACGGGACAACACGACTGACGCAGACAGGCGGACGTCACATTTTGGAGCGGCGACACCCGAACGAAAGCAATGAGGAGCGAGTGAAGGCTGTAGAGGACGTCACACACACACACACACACACACACACATATATATATATATATATATATATATATATATATATATATATATATATATATATATATATATTTAGTGTTCATAATGTTCGTTAGAACTTTTGAATTTGCGATCGTCGTAACGTCACTTTACTGCGCCTTTTCTATAAATATTTTCATGGTAATTGTTCTAATGAACTTTCCTCTATTATTTCATATAGTCAATACTTCAATGAGACTCAGAGGTATTATGGTGACTGTAGTAAGAATGATCAGTACGAATGTGTTGCTTTTGCGTAACTAATAGTATGGTATGTTTGGGTCAGTAATTGTGAATAGCGAAGTTTAAGACCGATTGAAAACGGAATTTCTTCTATACCCTCTTTTGGCCTTGTGTCACATTTTTTTTTTTTTTTTTCAAAATTGTTGTAATGGAATGTCCCACACTCCCTATGTCCTATGTTGATTGACTGTATCAGTAGCTATATATAGTGAGCGCAGGATATAACTGGGGGTTTGCTTCGGGAATTACTATCCTGTCACCCGATTTCCTGTCTTTCAGTAGTGTACTCTCTTTTACAATAAACATCCCTTTCTTTCATCTACGCCTGTGTTGCCGTTCCTTCACTTGAGTACCACCTTTGTCTGTTTGTAAACTATTTAAGGATACAACAAAAATAAATATTAATTTTCCTCTCGGGTACCTAGAATTTATGAATTTAAGTGCAGTACTAGTTAGGCGGTACGGTCCCATCATTTCTACCGTTGAATTGTCTCGATGTAACCGTAAGTTCTATACTAATACTTTCTTCTATCGAGAAGCCGAGATGCCAGGTAAATGCGATAGGATTGCAGATTCTTCTTTGGTTTTCATCAAGAATCTCTAAATGTACAGCAGGAGCGTTGACCCAGTTGTGGTAGAAATATTCAAATCAAAGACGGTGTATTGCTGAATACTATTAAACTCTGTCTTTTTTTCTTTGTTTAAATCGCGCGCCTCTCTAAGTGCAGTAATAATAATAATAATAATAATAATAATAATAATAATGGCAAGTCGAACGCCATCATAGTAGTTCTCCGAAGTTCCCGTCTCCAAATTTATTTTTCTGTGTCCTCTTTACAGACATTCAGGGTAATCACGACAATTTACTGCTCCTTTTAATGGCGATGTTTATTGTCATCGCTTGAAGAATATTTCATATATTTGCAATTATTTCTGGCAATACAAATGCGTTGTAGTGTTTGTATTTTCTTCATCAATTACGCGTGGCTGGAGGGTGGGCGTAACAGAAAGGATCTACATTAAGAATTTCGTTTTGCAAAGATAATAGGAATCAATAAATTATTTCTCAGGCATAAACAAACATATATCTGTCACAGTGTGTTCATATCTATCTATCTATCTATCTATCTATCTATCTATCTATCTATCTCTATCTATCTCATTCTGTTCACATCTATCGATCTATCTATGTTAGTGTCTTCATATCTATATGTCTATCAATCTATGTTCTGTGTATACCTGTCTTAGCTTATCCATATGTATGTATGTATGTATGTATGTATCTATCTATCTATCTATCACTATATTTATATATATACATACATACATGCATACATGCATACATACATACATACATACACACACATATATATATATATATATATTAATCTTTTCATATCTATATATCTATCTCATTCTGTTCACATCTATCGACCTGTCTCTCTTAGTGTCTTCATATAAATCTTTGTTCTGTGTATACCTGTCTTAACTGATGCAGATGAATCTCTCTCTCTCTCTCTCTCTCTCTCTCTCTCTATATATATATATATATATATATATGTCTGTGTGTGTGTGTATATATATCTTAGTCTGTTCATATCAATCTTTTTTGGTCTATTCATATCTATCTTAGTCTGTTCATATATATATTTATTTTATATATATATATATATATATATATATATATATATATATATATATATATATATATATATATATGTATCTTAATCCTTTCATATCTATATATCTATCACAATCAATTTCTATCTGTCTGTCTATATATCTATTTATTTTTGTCTGTACACAGATTTTTTTTACTATAGTGTCCACCCTATACAAAAGCCCGTGAGCCACTCGAGGTAGACACTTATGTTTAGGGGTAGTTGAAATGGGTAGGATGGGAAGATAAGTATTATTTACTATTTATGTAGAGAAGAGGGGAAGATAATGATTAACTTTTGACTTGAATTAGTTCAGATTTTAGTGAGGCAACCTCTTGGGTGTCTAGTACGTAACAAATACCATGCATTCTGTTAAAAGTAAAAATAAAATTATCCTGGATAACGACAAGAAGAATAACCGAAAACGCTAGGATATGCAGAACAATTTCTACATAATTCATGACCAGAAAAGCAAAATGTCTAAGAACACAAGAAAAATTAAATAAAAAATATTAAGCACAGAACCTTGTCGGCCGTTTGTAATATATATATCATACTTATTATAAAACCCAGGTTGTGTGTGTGTGTGTGTGTGTGTGTGTGTGTGTGCGTGTGTTTGTACGTTTATATATTGGATCGGATTTCCTACATTTTTCAACCGATTTCAACAAAACTTCAAGGGACTACGTAAAATTACCTTGCGGTGGTTCTGACAGCGCCAAAAATTGGAGAAACACAATTGTTTTTGCACGAAATCAATTTGAAAACATGATTAAGAGGCATCACGAGAATGAAAGGGGGACAACTCATATCGAGTTATACTTATTAATATCAAGTTATACTTATTATAAAACCCAGGTTGTTTGTGTGTGTGTGTGTGTGTTTGTGTGTGTGTGTGTGTATGTGTGTGTGTGTTCATTTATATATGGGATCGGATTTCCGACATTTTTAAACCGATTTCAACAAAACTTCTTTTTTTTTTTGGCAGGTAGTGTTTCTTATTGTCGTGCAAAACTTTTTTCTTTATTTTTACATTCAGAATGCTTTAAAAATTCCATTTACAAGACAATTGTTTATAATAAAATTCAATTCAAACGATAGACTCATAACGATTGAAAACAATGTTTTTGTTTGAGTTAGGTTTCACCAATTCGTAAAAAAAAAAAAAAAAACTAATTAAGACATGCGTGTCCGTCAACCTTAAACAATAATCTTTGTCAATTTTATTTTTCAGTCTTTATGATGGTCGATACTTGATCTATCTCTTATTGTTACATCCCCGGGAAACGCCGGGCTCTACTGCTAGTATATTATAAATTAACTGATTTAAAATATGGTTTTCTTTGCTGCACAGGAATTACCATGTTTCAAAAACCGAAGCTAAAATCTTCAAATTTATTTAAATAATTAAATTAAAAGCATTAGTTGTGTTTCATTTTCAAGCGAATTTTGGAATAACTTATAGTGTAAACAGAGAAAGAAAGAAAGAAAGAAAGAAAGAAAGAAAGAAAGAAAGAAAGAAAGAAAGAAAGGAGCAAACTAACAGCCAAATAGAAAGAAACGATGAAAAAAAGGAAGGAAGGACATGGAGAATATACGAAAAGAAGAAAAATGATAAAATGTAAGATAGAAGAAAGACAGATTGGAGAAAGAAGAAAGAAAAAAGAAAGATGTAGAGTAAGAAGTAATGAATTAAAAAAAAAAAAGGAATTAGGGAAAAAAATCAAAGAAAGAAAGAAAAAACAAGAAGAATAGTTTTGATACAGAACTAATGACGGAAAGAAAGAAAGCTTGAGAGGCATAACGAAAAGGGATAAAGATGTCGAGAAAAAAATGAGGGAAAAAAAAAGAAAGATGCAGAGTAAGATGAAAAAACTAAAAACAAAAACAAAAACCAAGAAATCCAAAAAAAAAAAAAAAAAAAAAATAGCCAAAATGTTGTAATCAAAACGATTTTTTCATTCTCTTAGATTCAAGTTGTGGTTTTAAACTCGTTTTCGTAAAATAACAAAAGAAAGTAAGAAAACATGGCGGCCATCTTTCAAAATGTCTAACTTCATTCAAGCAAAGTGTAATTTACGATGGACGGAAAACAAGTGGAGAATCGTGCTCAGTTTTCTAAACTTATTTCCATTAGACGTGTGGCATTAGTGTTATTAGACAAACGCGGCATCGGAATAATGGCAAGTTGAAGAGATATTAATCAGGATTCAGAAAAAATAGAAAAAAAAGAACACACAGCTTGGAGAGAAAAACTTGTATTATTTTATCAAATAAATGGAGTGGTAAATCAAAATATTTGAAAAAGTCTCTTGTCATTATACCGGATATATATATATATATATATATATATATATATATATATATATATATATATATAAATTATGACCATGGAATATTCTGATGAATCGGATCGTATTTACGATTCCAATGGAATAAATTATGACCATGGAATATTAGTGTTTAAGCCTTTTTTATTATATATATATATATATATATATATATATATATATATATATATATATATATATATATATTTATGTGCCATCTCCTTTCAGGACGAAGGCGATTATGGCATCTCAATTCCCTTTCAGCAAGTTCCTTCCCTCTTCTTCCTCTCCCAGACCACATTCTGTTACCAACCTGCTCAAGCTCGTCAGGTATGTCACGCGACGCTTTCCTTTGTCTCTCTTTCCCTTTATTCGACTCGTGAGTATCATATTCTCCAGACCCTCCTTCCACATTATGTGTCCCAGAAAATTCTGCTGCTTCTTTCTGATGTTAATTATAAGATCTTAAATGTCATTATATATATATATATATGTATATATATATATATATATGTGTGTGTGTGTGTGTGTGTGTGTGTGTGTGTGTGTGTGTGTGTGTGTATCTTAAAAATAAAGAACATATATAATCGGGTGTTCTCATTGATATTTTTTTATTAAACAGTGTTCAATGAAAATTTACAGAGCATAAATATTATAAATTATCTGATTTAAAATATCGTTTCTTCGCTACACATGAATTACCATGTTTCAAAAACTGAAGTTAAAAACTTTAAATTTAATTATATAATTAAATTAAAAACATTGGCTCCGTTTCATCTTCAAGTGAATTTTGGATTAACTCATTTTTAAATTTACTGAGTTTACGCAGTAAATTTAAAGATAAGTTATTCCAAAATTTAAAAATAAGTTATTCCAAAATTTGCTTGAGGATGAAACATAACTAATGCTTTTAATTTAATTATGTAATTAAATTTGAAGTTTTTAGCTTCGGTTTTTATACTTGCCGTATTTTCTTTCTTTCTTTATTTCTTCCTTTCTTTCTCACTTTCTTTCTTTCTTGTCTCATTTTTCTCTGTCTCCACTATTCTTGTCGTCTTTCCTTTTTTTTTTTTTTTTCTTTCTTTCTTTCTTTCTTCCTTGACTCATTTTTCTCTGCTTGCACTATTCTTGTCTTTTCTTACTTTCATTTTGGAGTGGGTAATTCGTAATATAGCGCAGCGGCGGGCCTATATTTCGCGAACCTAAAACTGGAACAGATATGAGTATTTTCTTAGCGTAGTTTAGATGTGACACAGGGCCAGAAAATATGGGGTCACCTAGTGAGGATCGTCGTAACTGATCTAGCTAACCATTACACCACGCTGAGGTGTCCCTGATGGAACAGATATGGAGGCACCTTGGCAAACAGCAACAATAGATTCAATGTAGACAAAATTATAGATTAGGAATAGATTCTGGCGAGATCAATGATCCCTTAAATTTGGGAAATCCGGCGCTGTATGACTCCAAGAACATTTTGAAATTTGCAAAATTAAATGGGAATTTTGAGGCCATAGCTATTTCAACCAATTGGCTTAGTATTTGATTCGCTTTGTTAGTTTTGCGCATCAGCTACATATGGATCATTTAATTTCAAATTTTTTTTCTTGGGAGCTTTGAAGTGATAAAAATATGATATGTTATTCTGCTTTCACAATTGAGTAAATGGTACATGAAACTAAGCTTTTGTGGATATACGTGTTTGTGCGGACATGATTGCTAGAGTGATTGCTCAATGGGTTATTTAATGCTGACAAGATTTTTATTACTGGTTTCATTTCGTTTGTTTTCTTTTACGGCATATCAAACACAATGGGTTATTTAATGCCGACAAGATTTTTATTACTGGTTTCATTTCGTTTGTTTTCTTTTACGGCATATCAAACACAATGGGTTATTTAATGCCGACAAGATTTTTATTACTGGTTTCGTTTCGTTTGTTTTCTTTTACGGCATATCAACCTCAATGGGTTATTTAATGCCGACAAGATTTGTATTGCTGGTTTCGTTTCGTTTGTTTTCTTTTACGGTATATCAACCTCAATGGGTTATTTAATGCCGACAACATTTGTATTGCTGGTTTCGTTTCGTTTGTTTTCTTTTACGGCATATCAACCTCAATGAGTTATTTAATGCCGACAAGATTTTTATTGCTGGTTTCGTTTCGTTTGTTTTCTTTTACGGCATATCAACCTCAATGAGTTATTTAATGCCGACAAGATTTTTATTGCTGGTTTCCTTTTGTTTGTTTTCTTTTACTGCATATCAAACTCAATGGGTTATTTAATGCCGACAAGATTTTTATTACTGTTTTCGTTTCGTTTCTTTTCTTTTACGGCATATCAACCTGAATGGGTTATGTAATGCCGACAAGATTTTTATTGCTGGTTTCCTTTGGTTTGTTTTCTTTTACGGCATATCAACCTCAATGCTGACAAGATTTTTCTTACTGGTTTCAATTCGTTTGTTTTCTTTTACGGCATATCAACCTCAATAGGTTATTTAATGCCGACCAGATTTTTATTGCTGGTTTCGTTTGTGTTTTTTGACAGCATATCAACCACAATGGGTTATTTAATGCCGACAATATTTTTAATGCTGTTTTTGTTTCGTTTGTTTTCTTTTACGGCTGGTAATATGTATTTTTCAAAAATATATTGTTGGTAATATTTTTTTCAAAAGTGTATTGCTGGTATTTCTTTTTCAAAAATGTATTGCTAGTAATATATTTTTCTTCTAAATGTATTGCTGGTAATATTTTTACAAAAATATATTGCTGGTAATTTCTTTTCAAAATTCATTGCTGGTATTGTATTTATTTTAAAATGTATTCCTGGTAATAATTTTTCAAAATATGTTGCTGGTAATATTTTTTCCAAACATTTATTGCTGGTAATATTATTTTTCAAAATGTATTGCTGGTAATATATTTATTTTATAATGTATTGTTGGTAATATTTTTTCCAAGAATGTAACGCTGGTAATATTTTTTACAAAAATCTATTGTTGGTAATTTTTTTCAAAATCTATTACTGGTAATATTTTTATTTCAAAATGTATTACTGGTAAAAAAATTTTTTCAAAATATATTGCTGGTAATATTTTTCCAAAAATGTAATGCTCTAATATTTTTTTTCAAAATGTACTGCTGGTGATATTTTTTCCAAAATGTATTCATGGCAATATTTTTTCAAAAACAGTATTACTGGTATTAAAACCTATTTGGATACTTTCATAGTGTTTTGATCCCTTTTTGGAGGGTAACTATTTGCCCATAGATGGGACCTGGCAGGTGCTACCAATTCAGTTAGAGTGAGCCTAGAAACAATTAAGATGTGGTTCTTGAAAACCTTCTGATCAAATGCCTCGCTGCCAGATGTAGTTTATCGTCATACCCCGGACGTTGGTTGTTTTCTTTAGCCGCATATCAACGTGTATATGCTTTTTTCTTAATGCTGAAATCTAAATATTTTTACCACAATTTTATGTTTTCAACTAAATATATCTTGAATGGACTTGCATGCCTTCAACTAAAGATATAATGTATTGTTGGTAATTTTACTATAAAAATGTAGTTTTATATATTCATAGTCTTTTTTTTTCTGCTTGTTTGTTTGGGGGACCACTATTTGCCCATAACTGGTACCGTAATAGATGCTAACACACCCACGGGTCAGCATTTAAGTAGGAGTTCAAAGCTTCTTAAAACTCCCAATGTCCCGATAAGAGGTCTTACTGTCGGATGTAATTCATTGACTGATAATTTTATCGTTAAAATGGCCTTATGGTATTAACAAACGCTTTAAAAAAAGCATCGATTTTGTTGAGAAATACACTCAATAAAAAATTGCTTCAGGAGAAAAAGGAAAACAAATACGAAACGTGTATGTATAGATAGATAGATAGATAGATAGATAGATAAATAGGACAGACTGACATTGATAGATAGATGTGTACAGGCTAAGATAGATACGAACAGGCTAAGATAGATAGATAGAACAGGCTAAGATAGATAGATAGAACAGACTGACATAGATAGATAGATAGATAGATACTGAACACACTCTGCTAGATAAATAGATAGATAGATAGATAGATAGATAGATAGATAGATAGATAGATAGATAGATTCTTTTATATTCTCCAATGAAATTTTTGGCGTCGGTATTGAAAGAAGTGGGTAAATTACTGTGTTGAAAATTACCGTGTTGTTTTATTCCGAGTACTTTCGACATTAACACAATGTCATCCTCAGGGTTTGTTTTTAAGAAAGAAATGTAGTGTTCATTATTTTCAAAGACAAAATTGCTATGTTCATCAGAAATTTATAATTTTACGTGTCGAGTGAGTGCCGCTAATTTCTGGGCCATGCGATGCAAGTTAATGGTCTAGGAGAGGTAACTAATTATGACGTGTAAAGATTTCTTTTTTTAAAATAAAAAAAAAAGGATGAGAAATTATTAATAAATATATTCATATTTTAGTCTCTCTATTTTAAACATTTGATCCTTTGTACTGTATTCATAATTAATTTTGTTACGGTTTGGTTTCAATTTTTAATATAGATAGCTTAAAGGATTTTTAGTTAATGTTTATTATTTTCATTGACTTATTTTCGACAGGAATTTTGTAAATTGCGAATACGGACAAGCATGCTGTTGTAAATGTCTAGAGATGTTAGACACGTCATTCAAGTGATAACTGCCGAGACAACGTAGTCGTAGTATGACCAACATAAATGTTATTTTTTTCCGTTGGGGATACAATCTCCCAGAGGACATTTTACTATTTATTCAATGTTTGTTTTCTGCAACACCTTTGTTGGTGAGGAAGAGTCGTTACGAATGATTAAATTGGATATATTGGATTTAGTGTAGTTACGATATAATAGATTCTCTCTCTCTCTCTCTCTCTCTCTCTATATATATATATATATATATATATATATATATATATATATATGTGTGTGTGTGTGTGTGTGTTTATTTGTGTATATATATATATATATATATATATATATATATATATATATATATATATATATATATATATATATATATATAAAAGGTAGGTTAGTTAATAAAACAAGGGCAAGAGAAAGGTATTAACCTCGGAATTTTCGGACACGCCTGTGTCCTTCATCAACGAACGGGGAACAAACAGGGAAAAGGGAATTAATCATCGCCAGATGTTATTGCAGATGTGTATTTTCCAATGGAAACCGTATTGTTAGGAATATTCCGATCTCTGATTCCTCGATGTGCAAAACCGTTAATGAAAACAAACTTAACATTAAAATTATTATCGGTGTAAAAAAGTTAGGCAGGTCTATTAATACTGGTTTTTGTCTTGGAGTGTGTAAGATTGTAAACATAGATGAAGAGAGTTATAGGTTGGGGAGAGGAAAAGACGTCTCGCGTGTCGCGTTTTGTAGCCTAAATAGTCGTAAGAAGTTGTCAAGTATAAAATTACAGGCCGTGGTTCAAATATGACGCGCTGAAATAAGCTTATTTCAGCAGACGAAACTATAGGTCGCATGTCTTATCAATCCCGATATAGGCTGAGTTCGTGCCTGGAATAGAAATTTTACTCTGAAAGCTAAAACAAAACAAAAAAAGTCGGAAAAGTAATGCAAAATTTATCCATTTCAATGTTTTGAGGCACGAAGCAGTGATCAAGCGAAGGTGGAAGATATTTATTTTAAAGAGAAGTTTTATAAAATTATACAGTAACCTTATGATATTAATATGGGGTTATATGAAGACTAGCATACTACTTTAAACCTGTCTTTCTTTTTATGTGCTATGTCCTTTCAGGATGAAGGCGATGATGGCTCTCCACTACCTCCTATCCCTTGCAGCCCTCAACAAGATCCTTCTCTCTGCTTACTCCCCCAGACACCGTTCTGTCCTCCACTTGCTTAAGTCTGCCAGGTATGTGACGCGTTGTTTTCCCTTGTCTCTCTTTCCCTCTATTCGTCCCGTGGGTATCAGATTCTCCAGACCCACCTTCCTCATTATGTGTCTCAGAAACTCCAGCTGCCTCTTCCTGATATTAATTATAAGCCTAGGTTGCAAACAAGGTGGAGGCTTATACTTAAATCTAAGAGTGGTATGGGATGGCGTTTAAAATAACTCAAAAATATATATATATAAAAGGATGTAAGGGATTAAATGAAGGAGAATTGGGGAAATCTTAGTGTAGGGAAAAGTTTATAAATATATTTAATATAGGTAAAATGGTTATAGAGGGGGAATAGAGAAATTAGAATTAGTTATACATTGGACATTGAAGAGTTAGAGAGGGGTAAATATTATGGAAATATAGTAGCTAATTAAGTAAAACCTATATTATGAAAAATTTGAATTTGTTTTTATGTCGGCATTTTAATAATTAATTATATATATATATATTTATTTTATTTATGTTTAACGTTATATTTTATATACAAGTATTTAAGCAAATGCTCTGTTTAAGATAAACAGTATTATATATATTTACCGGCCTGAATGTCCGAGAAAACAGAAAATATTCGTTCATAAGGATTCGAACCTGCATCCTATAGGGAACCGTATATACGCTGACATGACTTACCATGGCCAAAAACCTTATGCTAACAAGGAAAATTTACTGTTATAAAAAAAATCTTCCATGAATCTCGTACATTCATAACTTCTGGCGTATCGAATGTAAACAAATGACGTCAATGTTAAGAAATGGACAAGGTGCGAATTTATTTATTGAACATTTTTATTTATGTTTAACATATCTCATCTTTGACGCCATATTTATCACAACGTTTCGGCCTTTCAGTATCTGATATGTGATGAGGTATTATGTACACTATTTACATTATTCGAACTACTGTCCTCATCTTTGACGCCATATTTATCAGCGTTTCGGCCTTTCAGTATCTGTCTATATTTCTGTGATGAGGTATTATTTACATATTTACATTATTCGTATTCAACCATTTTCTTTTTATCACAACGTTTCTGGCCTTTCAGTATCTGTCTATATTTCTTTGAGGTATTATGTACACTATTTACATTATTCGAACTACTGTCCTCATCTTTGTTTTATCACAACGTTTCGGCCTTTCAGTATCTGTCTATATTTCTGTGATGAGGTATTATGTACAGTATTTACATTATTCGAACTACTGTCCTCATCTTTGATGCCATATTTATCACAACGTTTCGGCCTTTCAGTATCTGTCTATATTTCTGAGATGAGGTATTAGTTATTTACATTATTTTGTCCTCATCTTTTACGTTTTTAAAACAACGTTTCGGCCTTTCAGTATCTGTCTATATTTCTGAGATGAGGTTAACACTATTTACATTATTCGAACTACTGTCCTCATCTTTGACGCCATATTTATCACAACGTTTTGGCCTTTCAGTATCTGTCTATATTTCTAAGATGAGGTGGATTTAATATACATTATTCGGACTATTGTCCTGATCTTTGACGCCATATCTCCACAACGTTTCGGCCTTTCAGTATCTGTCTATATTTCTGTGATGAGGTATTAAATATTTACATTACGGGAATCCTGTCCTCATCTTTGACGCCATATTTATCACAATGTTTCGGCCTTTCAGTATCTGTTTTTTGAGATGAGGTATTATGTTCACTATTTACATTATTCGGAATGTTCATCTTATGTCGCCATTTTATCACAACGTTTCGGCCTTTCAGTATCTGTCTATATTTCTGTGATGAGGTATTATGTACACTATTTACATTATTCAAAATGTTCTCATCTTTGACGCCATATTTATCACAACGTTTCGGCTTTTCAGTATCTGTCTATATTTCTGAGATGAGGTATTATGTACACTATTTACATTATTCGAACTACTGTCCTCATCTTTTGACGCCATATTTATCAAAACGTTTCGGCCTTTCAGTATCTGTCTATATTTCTGAGATGAGGTATTATGTACATTATTTACATTATTCGGACTATTGTCCCTCATCTTTGACGCCATATTTATCACAACGTTTCGGCCTTTCAGTATCTGTCTATATTTCTGAGATGAGGTATTAAAAAACACTATTTACATTATTCGAACTATTGTCCTCATCTTTGACGCCATATTTATCACAACATTTCGGCCTTTCAGTATCTGTCAATATTTTGTGATCCACTATTTACATTATTCGAAAGTTCTTTGACGCCATATTTATCACAACGTTTCGGCCTTTCAGTATCTGTCTATATTTCTGAGATGAGGTATGTACACTATTTACATTATTCGAACTATTGTCCTCATCTTTGACGCCATATTTATCACAACGTTTCGGCCTTTTCAGTATCTGTCTATATTTCTGTGATGAGGTATTATTCTTTTTTACATTATTCGAACTATTGTCCTCATCTTTGACGCCATATTTATCACAATTTTCGGGAACATCTGATATGTGATAAGGTATTAGTACACTATTTACATTATTCGAGTACTGTCCACATCTTTAACGCCATATTTATCACAACGTTTCGGCCTTTCAGTATCTGTCTATATTTCTGATGAATTAGGTATTATGTACATTATTTATTATTCGAACCTACTGTCCTCATATTTGACGCCATATTTATCACAACGTTTCGGCCTTTCAGTATCTGTCTATATTTCTGAGATGAGGTATTATGTACACTATTTACATTATTCGAACTATTGTCCTCATCTTTGACGCCATATTTATCACAACGTTTCGGCCTTTCAGTATCTGTCTATATTTCTGTGATGAGGTATTATGTACACTATTTACATTATTCGAACTATTGTCCTCATCTTTGACGCCATATTTATAACAACGTTTCGGCCTTTCAGTATCTGTCTATATTTCTGTGATGAGGTATTATGTACACTATTTACATTATTCGAACTACTGTCCTCATCTTTGATGCCATATTTATCACAACGTTTCGGCCTTTCAGTATCTGTCTATATTTCTGAGATGAGGTATTATGTACACTATTTACATTATTCGAACTACTGTCCTCATCTTTGACGCCATATTTATCACAACGTTTCGGCCTTTCAGTATCTGTCTATATTTCTGAGATGAGGTATTATGTACACTATTTACATTATTCGAACTACTGTCCTCATCTTTGACGC